GCCCTTACCCCCACTTCTCCAACCATTATATAAACGGAGTGGTAGCTCCTGCAATCTCTCATTTACTTGATACAGCTGTCGTGGCTGTGACGGTTCCACCTGAAGACGGAAGCTTGTGTTGCCTCCGAAACGTCGTGATTTTTATTTTATTTTACTTTTATTAATTTTAATGTTTTACCTACGTGACTTTACCGAAAAAACCTAAGAATATGAATCCTTGCAGTCAAGAAAGCTTAAAATCTAGAATCCACTAGGATTGACCGCAGTAGAGCCCCAAGTGGTGGACCCTGGTACACAAACCTGAATTACGACCTCACAACGACTCACACGGGCCCCCTTCTGACTTCCACTCATGCATCGGAAGGGAATGCAAAATTAAAGACAAGCCACAGGCGTGTGATTGTGGCCACGCAAGCGAAACTATGGACCGTATAGACACTCGTAGAGATACACACAGACCCAGTGAAATACAGAGACACACCGATATCCACACAGGCTCATTGAGGCACATGAGGCCCAATGAGACAGAGATACTGTAATTGGTGGCCATGCAACCAAAATTATGACCACATCGTAAACATTCAATTGAGAAATGTAAAAACTACAGGAACTCCTGAAGCCCTCCCGTCGCTGGCAGACTTCCACATGGGCATTAAGCGCCTGAACCATATGTCCACTATCCGCAAGAATAGATCGGAACCTGCCTCGCTATAAATTATCTTAACATTCCGTAGCGCGAATTCCTTTACTCCTGGAATTACAAGTCAGAAGGACATTGCTGCATGTTGACAAGAGGCGCACCGATATAGCATCTGCGCAGTGAACCCACTTCCACTGATGCAGAAACAACGTTTGGCTGAGCAAAGTGTCCCAGCCACACGCGTCTCGAACGAACGTGCGAGTGACGATGTCAATAACCCACACTCGAATCACATTTGACCCCAAGTTTCTATACATCGACCCCCATTATGTCATTCTGTTTCCCTCTTGGGCTGCGTGCTGGCAAGCACTCTATGCACTCATGAACGTGTAGCTATGCAGCCAAATCGTGTCATTGCCATACATGTCAACCCATACGGTTTAGCCGTATTCTTGTAGGGGGAAATGTAGTTTTCAGGTCTATACGGCGTACATCACCTCCCCCCTGTCGTCGTCACACTGCGTCACAAGTGTCTGACCCCCCCCCCCTAGGTGCGTGACGTCATTTATGGACGGCCCCTGATCCCGACTTAGAATAGGCGTGGTGACGTTATCGGCCCAGCCAAGCCGAGGAAACGGAAGTGAAATGTTCCTGTGATAATATTACAAAATAATTAACAAACTTGAGCACGATTAGATAATATGTTGTTAACCACTGGAATTTAAGTATGTTGCAAAGCCTTTTAAGAATGTCCGAGTACTTTTTCATACGAGGTTATCATTGGTTCAGCCAGCCATACATATACAGCAGATAAAGCCCCCACCAATAACACGGCAACAGAAATATCTATTCATAATCAACGTTTTTGGGTTTAGATCGCGTTATTTATAAATGTGTCGTAACCCTCCACCACCCGACACGGCCAATCAGTAAAAAAGTGTCACGTTGACAAAATACAAATAGTTCACTGCTTTAGCCCACCGGTGTGTTGAAGCGTGAAGCCACAACATTTACAATTTGAGTACGACGTTTCGCTGGTAATTGCATCCAGCATCATCGGGCAATTCGCCAGAATGGTGGGCTAAAGCAGTGAACTATTTGTCTTTTGTCAACGTGACACTTTTTTACTGATTGGCCGTGTCGGGTGGTGGAGGGTTACGACACATTTATAAATAACGCGATCTAAACCCAAAAACGTTGATTATGAATAACATTGGTCGCGAAAGCCTACGTGTTCAACAGAAATATCTACTTCTTAAATCTTCACACATTTACCAGCGAAGGTAACAGGGGGTAACTGAAACTCGACACGTACCCACACGAAACCGCGACCCTTGCAGATGACTACAAACATATTCCTTGCCCACATATACGAGAACACCGTCACTTCAATACTCTGATACCCTATATCTGATACCCCCCTCCCGATGCGTTCTACGTGGCACTTCGTGCCGTCTTTGAGCCCCGCCCCCCTCCCCCCGATACGTTTCCATTCATTGGCTACCACATTCTGATGAGCTCCCCCCCCCCCCTCTCCTCCCCCCTCAACTCGCTTTTAAGGGATTACATCTTGAATCATTGCCTCACTTGATGCAGCAAATCTGGCTGTGACGGTCCCACCTGATGACGGAGACTTGTGTTGCCTCCGAAACGTCGTGATTTTTATTTTTATTTTTTATTTTTATTATTTTACTTTTATTAATTTTAATGTTTTTACCTACGTGACTTTACCGAAAACACCTAAGAATATGAATCCTTGCAGTCACGAAAGCTTGAAATCTAGAACTCTGATACCCTCTGCTGGCTCAACGTCCACATTCACATCAACAGCAATAATTCTCAATCGCCATCTGCGAGGTCACCCGGTAGACTTCACTCGACTCATCTTCACACTCTCCGTTCCAGCAATCAATGTTGCCTGGAAAACTTCGCCCCCCCTCCACCCCCCAGTCAACCTTCGTTCGGGATGCTCATGTCTTCTGCTACAAACTTCAAACGCGAGTTGAGAAGAGATGGAGCAAAATATGTAGGGGTGACAGCTACAGTGAAAACGGAGAGCCTCCCAGCAGATGACTCGAGGATCCAACCTCCTCTTGGCTTCGCAGCAGAACATTACACACAGAACATTACACACATGACATTACACACAGAACATTACACGCATGACATTACACACAGGACATTACACGCATGACATTACACGCATGACATTACACGCATGACATTACACACAGAACATTACACACATGGCATTACACACAGAACATTACACGCATGACATTACACACAGGACATTACACGCATGACATTACACGCATGACATTACACGCATGACATTATACGCATGACATTACACACAGAATATTACACGCAGGACATTACACGCAGGACATTACACGCGGGACATTACACGCGGGACATTACGCGCGGGACATTACGCGCGGGACATTACACGCGGGACATTACACGCGGGACATTACGCGCGGGACATTACGCGCGGGACATTACACGCAGGACATTACGCGCGGGACATTACACGCGGGACATTACACGCAGGACATTACGCGCGGGACATTACGCGCGGGACATTACGCGCGGGACATTACGCGCAGGACATTACACGCAGGACATTACACGCATGACATTACACGCATGACATTACACGCATGACATTACACACAGAATATTACACGCAGGACATTACACGCAGGACATTACGCGCGGGACATTACGCGCGGGACATTACGCGCGGGACATTACGCGCAGGACATTACACGCGGGACATTACACGCGGGACATTACACGCGGGACATCACACGCGGGACATTACACGCAGGACATTACACACAGGACATTACACGCGGGACATTACACGCGGGACATCACACGCGGGACATTACACGCAGGACATTACACGCGGGACATTACACGCAGGACATCACACGCGGGACATCACACGCGGGACATTACACGCAGGACATTACACGCAGGACATCACACGCAGGACATCACACGCAGGACATTACACGCAGGACATTACACGCATGACATTACACACAGGACATTACACACAGGACATTACACACATGACATTACACGCAGGACATTGCGGCTCAGTTACGCACACAGGGAGAGGCTCCAGGGCGCTCCGCAGGGCGAAGATGGTGAGCAACTTGAAACGACAGGAGTTGCGAGTGAACGCCTCTGTCCACTGGAACTACAATTCCTTGGAAAAATCTCCCGAAGCTCTCGAACCGGGTATCACAATTCGACGTCACACTATAACACATCCATGCTGCGGAGGGAGCTGCTGGTAGGAACGTTGGTGGGTTGCTCGGTCAATGGCCTGCAGGGTCAACGGCGGCGTGGTGTATTCCGCAAATATGCCCGACTGTGAGGGCGGGCACAAGCCGGCGTGAGTGGGTTAAACGTTGAGTTTTATAAGGGCACCACGGGGTGACCAGCCCCTCCCCACCCAGTCCCACCCCTTCCACCCCCCACCCAGCCCCACCCAGCCTCACCTAGCCCCTCCCCACCCAGCCCCTTCCTCTCCACCCAGCCCCTCCCTGCACGACGGACGGACGGACACAATAATCTCCTGTGGGCTGGTGTAACCTGGCGGTTCCTACCAGTAAAATGCTCCTGTTCCACGAGACATCATCAGCACCACCTCCCTCCCTTTCTCTCCCGCACCAATTATCTCCCTCCATCGAATTCCCTCTCCCACGCACTACCGCGTCCACTTCCTCACCACCTCCTACCCCCTCCCTATCTCCCTATGACCCCCCCCTCTACCCCCACACCAATCATTTCCATTAATGTCCCCCACTCTCAACATTCACGAGAGAGGGCGAGAGATGGTGTCAAGAGAGAGAGAGCAAAGGCGAGGAGCGAGGGAAAGTGGGGGAAGTGAGAGATGGGACAAAGTGCTTGGATTTATGAGACAGCGGAGATGGTGGTGGAGGGAGAGTGTTGGGGTGAAGGGAGGGAAGGAGCGAGAGGGATGAAGTCGTGGGGAGAGGAAGTTAGTGAGTAGAGAGTGGGATGGAGGAAGATAGTGAGGTAAGGAGGAAGAGTGTGTGTGGGTGGCGGGGAGTAGAGGTGATTAGGGGGTGAGTGGTGAGAGAGTGTGGAAGGGATGGGAGTCGTGGAGAGAAAGTGGTGGATCGAGAGACGGAAGGGATAATCGGTATGACGGGAAGAGAGCGAGCGGAGAGTGGAATAGATGGAGAGAGAGGGAGATGAAGAGATGGGGAGGAGTGGAGAAAGGAAGGGATGAAGGGAGGGAGTGAATGAGAGATGGAGAGAGCGAGGGGAGAGTGGAATGAGGGAGGGAGAGAGATTTGCGCATGGAGTGAGGTGCTGTCCGGCGATGCGTGTACAGTGCCCCGATGTATTATTCATGCCGCGCCATTGATCGAGAGAGAAGTCTCCTGCAGAGAGAGAGAGAGGCGCGCACGGTGCAGTCTCCACAGCCTTGCGGAGACCGAGGACCATCAACATCATCAACATCGACATCCTCATCGACATCGCCAGCGACATCGTTCTGACAGCGCCAGAAGAAACGACCTGCTGACTCACGGCAAATGTAACGCATCAACATCATCAGTGACATTAGACACGTGCTCATCAGCTGCGGCAACGTGCTCATAATCATGGTTATCAGCACGAGCAGACGGGCGCTCATCAACATGATCATCAGCAATAGTAACGTGTTCCATCAGCAGCAGCAGTAATGCGCTAATTATCATTAGCAACCTGGTGGTAATCGTCATTATTACTATCAGCAACCACTCCTGCAACGTGCGTATTGTTACTATCATCACCATGATCGTCACAATCAACAGCAGCAGCAGCAATTTGTTAATCGGCAACATCATCTGCGTCATCATCATCAAGGTCATCGTCATCACTCGTGAAAGACGGCTGGATAATTAAGTTTGAATTGGATCAGTGGCGTAACAGGGACACCCGGTTATGATTGTATATATTTTTTAATTAAAATCAACAAGGTTGAAATCTTAAATCGCGTATTGTAATATCAATGGCATTAACATACATTACGTATGTGTGATGGAAAATGGGATACAACACATTAATATAATTTGAATGAAGTTATTGATATGGCTACCTTTAATTATTTCAATATTTGCTAACAAGCAATCACACCTGATGATGATTGCTTGTGTTGCAGTGGAAACGTCGTGAGAATTGAAATCAACAATATTGAAACACAAGCAATCACACCTGCTGATGATTGCTTGTGTTGCAGTTGAAACGTCGTGATAATTGTATTGTTTTATATTTGTATTATTTTATTATTTTCCTTCTACGTGACTTTACCGAAAGAACCAAGAATATGCACCATAGTCATAACTTTTGAGACTTCTCTTTATCATAAAAAATACATGAATAACGGATAAGAGCATTTGAAAACGTTTTGCATTATATGAACACACCTCTATGAATATAACGCAGCATATCAATTAGCTCCACCTACATTTGTTGTGGTATCATGCACACCGCGTGTGATCCAGCGCTCTAGATTCAAGGCGTAACGGGTCACGTAGAGATTTGTGCAAATTCATCAACTCACCCTGGATTGGAGCACAAGTGAGTATAGCGAATGGGTCCGTAAACTCGTAAAATCACGCTTAAAACACACACATTCTTGTTAACTGCTTTTTACATCTAATATATGTGCTAGGGATTCATGACGTTCAGTGTGTTGGGCATACTATTTTCATGCGTAACGCGCGGTATTAAATCACATGATTGCCATCACTGTTCGCTGGACTCTCTTTGATGTCGGGAGTCTTGAGTCGTGCTCGGGTGATCAACGTCGTGATGCGTGGCCCGTGCACTAAACGTGCCCGCTGGTCGCCTTGTGTTCTGATTTGACTGCAGTGGGATGCTCGTGCCTTTAATGAAGATGTCCATTGTTTGGATTGTAATGTGTTTGTGTGCAGGTCAAAATGTTAAGCGCTTTCAGATGCAAAGTGTTTAAATCTCGCTGTATAAACACGTGCGTGTTGTGATTACGGGTCCTTGGCAGTGATGCCCTCGTAACCCGACCGGTTGGTGGGATGTCTTCGCGTAGTTCGGCTCGTTCTGTTTCTGTGTCTCCACGTCTCTACGTATTTGTGTCTCGCCGCGTCTCTTGCTCTCGATCTCTCGCGTCAGTGTCCCACTTTTGTGTCTACCTCCGTGTCTGTGCATGTCTCAGTGTCTCTCGCCGCAACTCTCTATATCTGTTACCTGTCTCCGTGTTCCCTCTCCGTGTCTCTATATGTTCATATTTCTGGGGATCTATGTCCCTGACTCTGCGTGTCTCTGGGTGTCGAGGTCTCTCTCTCTCCCTCTCTCTCTACACATTTGTCTCCGTGTCTCTGTATCCACTGCGTTGTCTGTACCCTCTATGGCGAGGTTTACTTTAAGTATTCTTGGGTCGCTTTGTCCCAAGAGCCGCACTATTTATTCAGGCAATAAGCTGACATGCCTTGTGTTAAGTTAATCTTAAAAAAAACCCTGCAGCGTTCCCTCTCTGCGCATCCAATGTGGCCTGGCTTTTCGGCCGATTTTTATTTCATATTCACGACTACATTTTGGGTATAACTTTGAACAACATTTCCCCAACATGCCTCAAATGATGGAAATATATCCAACAGTGTTCTGAAATATTTAGCGAAAGCGCCATGCAGCGTATCGATGCTACATGCTGGGAAATGTATTTACAACGGATGCAATAATTAATGCGTCTTTATTTTGAAATGTGCGTGAAATTGGTGATCGAGCCCAACGTTTTTGATCGCCTCATTATTTATGAGACACCAACATTGCGTCCATTCCTTCTGCGGGCAATTGCTTCCTCCACCGTGACTAATATTGAGTAACAAGCGGCGCTGTTAGTATCTACCGATGCATTTTCACCATCACAATCATCACCACCACCACCATCATCTCCCACCTAACAGTCCCAACAAGTGCCGAACGCGCTTTCGTTTCCTTCCTGCTTGCAGATGTCACTGGGAGAGCCGCCCGGCGGGACCTCGGTTCGCGGTGGCGGCGGGGGGTTGGTGGCTGCCACCGCCGCCGCCGTGACCGCGTCGCCGCCACGGGACTTCACAGGGGACCTCGCGGATGACTTCGCGGGCGACTTGCTGCTTGCGCACAACGCGGCGCGCGCGCGCCACGGGGCCGCGCCGCTGCGCGCGTGCGCCGCGCTGGAGCGCGAGGCGCGCGCATGGGCCGAGCACCTCCTGGAGAGGCGCGCGCTCAAGCACAGCGACACGAGCCACGGCGAGAACCTGTACTACCGCCCGCTGGGCGCCAGGGAACAGGGCGCCGAGCCCGGCGGTACGGGACGCAAGAGGGTGCAGGGGTTGAGGCTGGGTACACATGGGGGTCACAGGGGTTGAGGCTGGGTACACATGGGGGTCACAGGAGTTGAGGCTGGGTACACACGGGGGTCACGGGTTGAAGCTGGGTACACATGGGGGTCACAGGGGTTGAGGCTGGGTACACATGGGGGTCACAGGGGTTGAGGATGGGTACACATGGGGGTCACGGATTGAGGCTGGGTACACAAGGGGGTCACAGGGGTTGAGGCTGGGTACACACGGGGGTCACAGGGGTTGAGGCTGGGTACACACGGGGGTCACAGGGGTTGAAGATGGGTACACAAGGGGGTCACAGGGTTGAGGCTGGGTACACATGGGGGTCACAGGGGTTGAAGATGGGTACACAAGGGGGTCACAGGGTTGAGGCTGGGTACACAAGGGGGTCACAGGGGTTGAAGCTGGGTACACATGGGGCTCACGGGTTGAGGCTGGGTACACAAGGGGGTCACAGGGGTTGAAGATGGGTACACAAGGGGGTCACAGGGTTGAGGCTGGGTACACATGGGGGTCACAGGGGTTGAAGATGGGTACACAAGGGGGTCACAGGGTTGAGGCTGGGTACACAAGGGGGTCACAGGGGTTGAAGCTGGGTACACATGGGGCTCACGGGTTGAGGCTGGGTACACAAGGGGGTCACAGGGGTTGAGGCTGGGTACACAAGGGGGTCACGGGTTGAGGCTGGGTACACAAGGGGGTCACGGGTTGAGGCTGGGTACACAAGGGGGTCACGAGTTGAGGCTGGGTACACAAGGGGGTCACAGGGGTTGATGCTGGGTACACAAGAGGGTCACGGGTTGAGGCTGGGTATACATGGGGGTCACAGGGGTTGAGGCTGGGTACACACGGGGGTCACAGGGGTTGAAGCTGGGTACACATGGGGGTCAGGGGTTAAACCTGAGACGCATGGGGAAAATGGCTCGTCTTGGGATACTGGGTTAGAGGTCGCACTAAAACGAGCTATGGAGAAACGTCAACTACCATCTCTTGGGCATGCGGGGCCTGTGGGCAGGACGAAGGGGTGAACGTGGATGGATATCCAAGATCGATGTCGGGAACAGACCTTGACCTGTATAACCGACTTCTGGAGTGACGCAGTCCTGCTCAAAACGAGGGGTTGAACCTCCACAACTGACCTCAGGGGGTTACGTATCCTACTCGTTAAGAAGGTGAGCATGTACGCGTGTATGCACGTATGTGCGCGCGTGTATGCACGTATGCCCCAGGCAAAGAAGTGACGGAGCACTGGTACAGCGAGGTGAAGCATTACGACTTCTCCAGTCCTGGATACAAGCCCAACACAGGTGTGTGTACATGTGTGTGTACATGTGTGTGTACATGTGTGTGTACGTGCGTGTGTGTGTACGTGTGTACGTGTGTGTGTACGTGTGTGTGTGTACGTGTGTACGTGTGTGTTTACATGTGTACATGTATGTGTACGTGTGTGTTTACATGTGTACATGTGTGTGTACGTGTGTAAGTGTGCGAGTACTGGCAAAGTCAGCCCATGCTAAACTAACCCGGACACGTGTTCTTCTCGCATCTGTCTCGTAAGTTTGTAAACTGTAGCCAGCTGCTGGCTGATAGGTTTGGTGCATCGCAGGATTGTGACAGGTGGCAGCAGCTTCGGTAGGCCTTCATCCAGCAGTGGATTGGTCGTGGTTGATGAGGATGATGAACTGATGCTGTCCAACACCCGGGTGTGGTTTACGGAGGTTGGAATTCACCACCACGGCGATTCGATTCAATCCACCAACAAAAAAAAAAGAACATTTTGGTGAATGTCGTGGCTACGAGGAGTGGAACTCATTTCATACAACTTACACAATAGTCGTCTAAACACAGATTCGTAGAGGCACCACTTGATGCATGCATTGCGAAACTTTAGACTCGATATCGATCAACGTTTCGATGAATATTTCCACCCTCTGGGCATGTGACAGCTGATTAAACTCATCAACTTATATATAGTCCACTCGCAATTTGAGCCACTTCTTTGCAAACGACAGTGACCTTCACGAGTCGGGTTCATTAACATCACAAGCCGAAAGCAATCGACGTTTAGTTGCCTAACGCGCCGATCCTTCGCTATCAATCGCGACCGGATCAACCGCGCTTGCGGACAAAATTACAGAAACAAATATCTTGACGTGCCCGGGTTTAATTCTATTAGTAGCTGCTCCTCACTTATTGTTGGGGTCATTGACTCAGCACCCACGTGACCGCAAACACGTCAGCAAGTAAATCGATTGATTTAAAAAGCGATAGAAACACACGACGCGTTCCACATCTTAAACCCCCATCCTATGTAGGCAAATACGCGTTTGTAGAGACTATAACTTTACATACTCTTTGGTTCTTTCGGTAAAGTCACGTAGGTGAAAAGAAAAATGAAAATAACTAGATTAAATCACGACGTTTCGGGGCTCAACACAAGCGTCCGTCATCAGGTGGGGATACCTCAGCAACTGATGCCGCTGTGGCTGTCCACACCTGATGACGGACGCTTGTGTGTTGCGCCCGAAACGTCGTGATTTAATGTGGTTATTTTCATTTATTTTTATTTTTTATTTTCACCTTCGTGACTTTACCGAAAGAACCAAAGAGTATGCCTCTTTTGCAGTCACGAAAACTTCAAATCTTGAATTAACTTTACATACGCACCTGTGATAGTCCGTTGTCTGGACCACTCATCATCCCCGTGAGCCCAGCTCATCCAGAGAGGGCTGTGAATCGAGGTGCGTGCGTGCAGCCAGCGCCGCACTCAGACTTCGGCGACCCGAGTTCGATTCCCGCTCACGTCCCAACACCAGTGAAGATGATCAGAACCGTTCTCGGGCCTCGTCTACGTCGACTCAGCCTCAAACGAGCACCGGGTGCGGTGTAAATGTCGCCACGAGGGAGACACAGGTGGCCAGGGCGTGGCGATTACCACGCCCCCTCCTCGTGTCCCTTGCTCGCCTTCATAGGGGCCGTCCATAAATGACGTCACGCACCTAGGGGTGGGGGGAGGGGTCAGACATTTGTGACGATGTGTGACGAGGGGGGGGGGGTGAGAAATGTGACGTCACATTAAAATACGCAACTTTAATTATATGTAGACAACACGTTCTACTTAATTAAATCGACTTTTTAAAATAAATGGTTTCTCCTAGAACATCAGAATGCAGCGCCGCATTAAATACGCACTACAATGACAATCGTTTAAAGCGATTTGAAGCATATTTTATTTTGGGGGGGGGGGGGGGGGGCAGAGCTTTGTGACGTCATATTTGAGAGAGGAGGGGGGGTCTGACTTTTTGTGACGCCGTGTGACGAGGGGGGGGGGGGTTAAAACATCGTCCAAAATCGCGTGACGTCATTTATCGACGGCCCCATAGGTTCTCACTCACAGCACTTGGCCCAACATGTTAAAGGTATGCGGGGGCGGGGGGGTCCTTTGCCTTTGTGTGCGTGTCGCAGTCCACTTCACGCAGCTCGTGTGGCGCGCCTCGTGCACGCTGGGCGTGGGCCGCGCCTGCGACGGGCGCCGTCTCGTCGTGGTGACGCTCTACAGCCCCGCGGGCAACCAGGGCCCCCAGGGCGCCTTCCACGCCAACGTGCTGCCCCCCTTGCCCCGTGCCGCCTCCCTTGCCGGCGCTGCCCCCGCTGCCCACGTGCGCCGATGCGTCCCCGTTGCCCGTGCCGCCCGCGCGGTCTGCACCGCCGTCATCTTCGGATGCGGCCAAAGCAAAGGAAGCGGGCTCTGACGGTGGGTCTGGCGTTGATCTGCGGGCGCTGACGGCCAGGATTCACCTGGGGCGATGTCGTGGCGATTGTCACCGGCAGTGCAATTACTCGTGAGCAACTATGGCAATTGCTAACCATCTCAAGGTTCTGTGATGGCTTTAAGAGCACACCGTATAGTGCCTCTGTTGTAGAACAACATTCAACTTTGATGAAATAAAACAAATCTATAATTGAGCATTTTGGCCGCATTGTCGCGATGTTGGGTTTCAGCCGCTCGTAATTAGCCCGGGTTCTTGAGTTCGTGCTGCGTAGCGAGTAGATGGTCACGCCTCCTTAGCCATTAAAAATAAGCTTATTATAATGAGCAAATTTTTTTATTTAGATCTGAAGCTTAAACATTTGGTTTAATTCGCGTAGGACAATCTTTACGAGGCATTCATACAAGGCGTGCCCCTCGTGTCGATAACGACCTCCATGTAAGTTAACCCAGAAGTAGCGACTGGCCCATGGTGGGGCTGCTGTCTGACACTGGGTGATGCACTACTATCTGCAGACTTTCGCATGGAATCTTCTCATCTGGTGACCTGATGGGAATAGCACAATTGGACTATGGTTCTCCCTCACGGAAGTGGTGGTGACGCTGAAGGGTCCACGGCCTGGTGAACTGGAGGTTTGTGTGTGCATGTGCTCCTGCAGGGCCGCAAGCAAGCGACTTTCAACAGGATCTGCTTGTGGCGCACAACGCCCTGAGGAAGAGGCACGGAGCGAAGCCTCTGGTCCTCAGTGCGGAGCTCTGTGCAGGGGCCCAGCTCCGTGCCGAGGCCCTGCTCCTCCTGCTAATGGAGCCTGGCGCTGTGACGATGCCACGCGGCGGGCAGCTACGGGAGGACAGATCACGCGAGCACCCGGCGGACCTGCACGCACCGCTGGTGGACGCGCTCGGGCTCGGCGGGCTACACACAGGCAGACGGCAAACGGAAGAGCTGCAACCGGGACAAACACTCGACTTGGGAGAAGCACACGCGGACAGTCTGCAGGTGGACCAAGGTCCGTGTGACGATGAGCAGTCTCGCACTCGGCGGGAGGATGAGCAGGGGAAGCCTTCACAAGCTGCCTCCCCAAACCATCAGGGACTACAGCCAGCACATCCACAGCCACAGGCGCTACAGGCAGATAAACTGCAGTCGAGCGACATTCATCCGGACAGAATATGGACGGAGAGATTGCAAGAACAGCAACTGCATCGAAACAAAGTACAGCAAGAAGGGCTACCACCAAGTGAACTGCAGCCCGACAAACTCAGTCCGGATAAACGAGAGACGGTGGGACGACAGCCATATCAACTACAGCCAGAAGAGCTGCAGTCAAATCAACTTCAACCAACTGGAATGCAATCAAAAACATTTCAGGGTGACAAAATACGATCCAATGAAGCATGCGAACTACAATCAAGTGAACCTCAACCAGCTGACGCACAACCGGCTGATGCACAACCAGGTGGAGTACAACCAGGTGGAGTACAACCAGGTGGAGTGCAACCAGGTGGGGTACAACCAGGTGGAGTACAACCAGGTGGAGTACAACCAGGTGGAGTACAACCAGGTGGAGTACAACCAGGTGGAGTACAACCAGGTGGAGTGCAACCAGGTGGACTACAACCAGGTGGACTACAACCAGGTGGAGTACAACCAGGTGGACTACAACCAGGTGGACTACAACCAGGTGGAGTGCAACCAGGTGGAGTGCAACCAGGTGGAGTGCAACCAGGTGGAGTGCAACCAGGTGGAGTACAACCAGGTGGAGTACAACCAGGTGGAGTGCAACCAGGTGGGGTACAACCAGGTGGAGTACAACCAGGTGGACTACAACCAGGTGGACTACAACCAGGTGGACTACAACCAGGTGGACTACAACCAGGTGGAGTACAACCAGGTGGAGTGCAACCAGGTGGAGTGCAACCAGCTGACGCACAAGCAGGTGGAGTACAACCAGGTGGACTACAACCAGGTGGACTACAACCAGGTGGACTACAACCAGGTGGAGTACAACCAGGTGGAGTACAACCAGGTGGAGTGCAACCAGCTGACGCACAACCAGCTGACGCACAAGCAGGTGGACTACAACCAGGTGGAGTACAACCAGGTGGGGCACAACCAGGTGGGGTACAGGCAGTGGAGGCACAAGCGGAGGAGGCACAGGCGGGGGAGAGGCTCCCAGGCGCGGCGCGCTGGGACTCCGCGGCCCTGGAGCGCGTGGGGCGCACAGAGTCGCGGCCCGGGGAGAACGTCTACCTGGGGGTCGGGGGGGACGCGACACACCCCACGGGTACAGCCACACCGCTCACACACACACCGCTCACACACACCGCTCGCACACACCGCTCACACACATACACACACACACCGCTCACACCCACACACACACACACCGCTCACACCCTCACACACACACACCCCGCGGGTACAGCCACACCGCTCACACACACACCGCTCACACACACACACACCGCTCACACCCTCACACACACCGCTCACACACACCGCTCACACACACCGCTCACACACACCGCTCACACACACCGCTCACACCCTCACACGCTCACACGCTCACACCCTCACACACACACCCCTCACACGCTCACACCCTCACACACACACCGCTCACACACACACCGCTCACACCCTCACACACACACACACACCCCGCGGGTACAGCCACACCGCTCACACACACACCGCTCACACACACACACACCGCTCACACCCTCACACACACCGCTCACACACACCGCTCACACACACCGCTCACACACACCGCTCACACACACCGCTCACACACACCGCTCACACACACCGCTCACACACACCGCTCACACCGCTCACACACACACCGCTCACACACACACACACACACCGCTCACACCCTTACACACACACACCGCTCACACACACACACACACACACCGCTCACACCCTCGCACACACACACACACCGCTCACACCCTCACACACACAGACACACCGCTCACACACACCGCTCACACCCGCACACACACACACACATCGCTCACACCCTCACACACCCACACACACACACACACCGCGGGTACAGCCACACCACTCACACCCTCACACACACACACACCGCTCACACACACACACACACACCGCTCACACACACACACACACACCGCTCACACCCTCACACACACAAACACACACCGCTCACACCCTCACACACACACACACACCGCTCACACCCTCACACACACACACACACCGCTCACACACCGCTCACACCCGCACACAAACACACACATCGCTCACACCCTCACACACTCACACACACACCGCTCACACCCTCACACACAAACACACACCGCTCACACACACACACCGCTCACACCCGCACACACACACACACACCGCTCACACCCTCACACACACACACACACACCGCTCACACCCTCACACACACACACACACCGCTCACACCCTCACACACACACACACCGCTCACACCCTCACACACTCACACACACACCGCTCACACACACACACCGCTCACACCCTCACACACTCACACACACACCGCTCACACCCTCACACACTCACACACACACCGCTCACACCCTCACACACACACACACACCGCTCACACCCTCACACACTCACACACCCCCCGCTCACACACACACACCGCTCACACCCGCACACACACACACACATCGCTCACACCCTCACACACCCACACACACACACACCGCGGGTACAGCCACACCGCTCACACCCTCACACACACACACACCGCTCACACCCTCACACACACACACACCGCTCACACCCTCACACACTCACACACACCGCTCACACCCTCACACACACACACACACCGCTCACACACACTCACACACACATCGCTCACACCCTCACACACTCACACACACACCGCTCACACCGCTCACACCCTCACACACTCACACACTCACACACACACACACCGCTCACACCCTCACACACTCACACACACATCGCTCACACCCTCACACACACACACACACCGCTCACACCCTCACACACTCACACACACATCGCTCACACCCTCACACACTCACACACACACCGCTCACACCCTCACACACTCACACACACACCGCTCACACACTCACACACTCACACACACACCGCTCACACACTCACACACACACACCGCTCACACCCTCACACACACACACCGCTCACACACACACACCGCTCACACCCTCACACACACACACACACCGCTCACACACACACACCGCTCACACCCGCACACACACACACACACATCGCTCACACCCTCACACACTCACACACACACCGCTCACACCCTCACACACTCACGCACACACCGCTCACACCCTCACACACTCACACACACCGCTCGCACACACACCGCTCACACCCGCACACACACACACATCGCTCACACCCTCACACACCCACACACACACACACCGCTCACACCCTCACACACTCACACACACCGCTCACACACACACACCGCTAACACCCGCACACACTCACACACACACCGCTCACACCCTCACACACTCACACACACACCGCTCACACCCACACACACACACACACCGCTCACACCCTCACACACTCACACACACACCGCTCACACCCTCACACACTCACACACACACCGCTCACACCCTCACACACACACACACCGCTCACACCCTCACACACACACACACACCGCTCACACACACACTCACACACACACCGCTCACACCCTCACACACACACCGCTCACACCCACACACACACACACACCGCTCACACCCTCACACACACACACACACACCGCTCACACCCACACACACACACCGCTCACACCCTCACACACTCACACACACACTGCTCACACCCTCCCACACTCACACACACACCGCTCACACCCTCACACACACACACACACACCGCTCACACCCTCACACACACTTACACACACACGCTCACACCCTCACACACACTTACACACTCACACACACACCGCTCACACCCTCACACACACACACACACACCGCTCACACCCTCACACACTCACACACACCGCTCACACACACATACACTCACACACACACCGCTCACACCCTCACTCACACACACACACACCGCTCACACCCTCACACACACACACACCGCTCACACACACACACCGCTCACACCCGCACACACACACACCGCTCACACCCTCACACACACACACACACACCGCTCACACCCTCACACACACACACACCGCTCACACCCTCACACACACACACACCGCTCACATCCTCACACACACACACACCGCTCACACCCTCACACACACACACACACCGCTCACACCCTCACACACACACACACACCGCTCACACCCTCACACACACACCGCTCACACCCGCACACACACACACACACCGCTCACACCCTCACACACAGACACCCGCACACACACACACACATCGCTCACACCCTCACACACCCACACACACACACACCGCGGGTACAGCCACACCGCTCACACCCTCACACACACACCGCTCACACCCTCACACACACACACACACCGCTCACACCCTCACACACACACACCGCTCACACACACACACACTCCCCACGGGTCAGCCACACCGCTCACACCCTCACACACACACACACCCTCACACCCTGACAAGCACACACACACCGCTCACACCCTCACACACACACACCGCTCACACCCTCACACACACACACCGCTCACACCCTCACACACACACACCCTCACACCCTGACAAGCACACACCGCTCACACCCTCACACACACACACCGCTCACACCCTCACACACACACACCCTCACACGCTGACAAGCACACACACACCGCTCACACCCTCACACACACACACCGCTCACACCCTCACACACACACCCTCACACCCTCACACACACACCGCTCACACCCTCACACACACACACTCCCCACGGGTCAGCCACATCGCTCACACCCTGACAAGCACACACACACCGCTCACACCCTCACACACACCCTCACACCCTCACACGCACGACGGTTCTCCCACATCACTCACACGCACCACGGTCCGGCCACATCACTCTCACACTGACAGCAAGGGCCCAGCCACACCACTCATAGCAAGGGCCCAGCCACACCACTCGTATACACACACACGTCGGGACAGCCACACTGCTCATACACTCACACACACACCATGGGGAAGCCATCTCGCTCACAAACGCAACAGGTCAGCCACACAATTCACACACTCGCACACACCACGGCGCTGCCACATCATTCACCCACTCGCACACACCACGGTATCTGCCACACATTCACTCACACTACGGATCAGTCACACTACTCACACACACACCACAGCCCAGCCATATCACTCCCACACTCACGCACCCCACAGGTTAGTTACACCGCTCTCACACACACACACACACCACGGAACCGCCACACTGCTCACACACCCACACACACACCATGATACAACCACACCGCTCACACACCCACACACACCACGGGCCAGGCACACCAAAGACAATGATCCCCCGTATAGCCTTAGACTGTTGGAGCAAGTGCTGTTATTGGGCACCTCTGAAGTCTAGCATGGTACACAAAGGGGGTGGGTGGCCAGGACCAAGCACGACCGCCTTTGTATCCCCATTGGCGATGTTTATACACACTGCGCTATGGAATCATTTGAGGCTGAGTCGACCTAGGGGAGGCCTAGGACGTGTTCTGATAATCCTCACTGATGTTGGTCGAAGCACAGTGCGCAAACCACTGCGCCACACTCAACCACTCCACCACTCCACCACACACTCAGACTTCAGGCCAGCAACACCACTCTGGCACACAGATACGACGGCTCATCAACATCACTCGTACACTCACATTACGAGCCAAGCACGTCACTCTCGGACTCGGGCACCACAGGTCAGCCACATCGCTCGCACACACTCACACCAGAGGGTTATCCCCGCCGTGTTCACGCACACCACGCTCAGTGGACCACTCGCACACCGCGTGTTCATCACAACGCTCTTACGCACACCACGGGTCAGGCACACCCTTTACACAGGCACGCACACCAAGGGGGGGGGCCACACCACTGTCAAGTCCCACAACCACCAGCAGCAGCAGCAGCAGCCACAAGGCTCACACACACCGCAAGGTCATCCACACACAAAGCCACTCAACAGCGTATCTGGCGCCTATGTAAGGGCGTGCAGGCACCAGAGGGATGGACCCCGTCCCTTGACGATTGATCCCACCTCACTCACTCTTCGCGTGCCCCCTGTCCCTGTGAATCGACAGCGTCCGAGGTCACCGACGCGTGGTATAGCGAAATTGGACGACACAACTTCGACATCCTGAGCCCTCAGCCCGAGTCCGGTAAGAGCTTGCATTGTGTCCACTCATGAGGACTTCTTCATCGCCTTGACCTCCTCGACGCTGTGATGGAGAGAACAGGCTGGGCGATGGAGGTCGCATATTCATCAGACGATTATATTGACCACAAGCACGTAATGACGCATCTCTCCATGCATTCAAATTGACTCGGTCTCCCGGAACATGCGTTGAATTGTGTAAGAATCGATTGTTTAGAATATGCTGAGTCAGACTAAAACTCAGACTAATGGAGCTTAGGAAATTGTACAAACGATACGGAAAAGAACACGCAATACAAAAGAGATGGTTAAAAGGAGATGATGGAGAATCAATTCTCCAGTTAAATTGCGAGTAAAACATGGCAATTACTGGGCAGGCGGAATAGTTACACGTTGAGTGGGGACAATGAGGACAATCACGATGATGTCTGTTTTATTTCACCTCCTCATGAGCAAGGTTGGTGATGCTAAATGCGGTAAAACTCCAATGACATTCTGAGATGTCTTCACGCATCAGTGGCCAACACGTGGATCGTGATTGTGATCCACGGGTGGATGATTTTCTTGGTTCTTTCGGTAAAGTCACGTAGAAGGGAAGTAATAAAATAATAAAAATAAAACATAATAAAACAATTCTCACGACGTTTCGGCCACAACGCAAGTATCCGTCCTCAGGTGAAAACCAGGTCTGTCGAGGCGACAGCGGGACGATCGCCAAATAAATATTTTTGTGGATCTCGAGGACAAATAAGAACACTTAAAGCCAGCAGACAACAATTATCTTCATGGCTTATGGCAAATACAAAGCCCTGACTAAGAATTCATAGATTAAAAAAAAAGCTTCTGCCAATAGGTGATGCTCGTAGTGTCATTCTATTAATCTATAGCAAATACGATACCATGTTTAAAAAAAACAACATCTCAATTTAACGCTTTTTTCATATGCAGTCACATTGTGGCAGGCCAGGATATTTTTTTTCTTAAAACAGTGGTTGGTACAAGAAACGGAATCTAGCCACGTAAATAACGTAGCTTTCAGCGTTTAAACAAATCTTGCTCGGACATTACAGGGTTAACTTCAGGTAATTATTTGGCCAGAGATTTTGAGGAGGGGGGGGATCATCGCAAAGCGCGTTGACATCCATCGCAGTGGATCGCACCGCTTGCTGGATTGGCCACTGCTGTCTTTTCGTTTGAAAAGTTCAACTCAGAATTTTTTAGGATTCAATATTTTCTGCCAACTGGACTTTGGCGAAACAAACGACTTCAACTAATTAGCCAGGTAAAGCCCACGAGCCATTCGATATGTTTTAGAGGCGACCTGGCCACGCATAGCTCATCTAAGTAGTTTCATCATCACACGTGGAATCATGATTTTTTTCAACTTGCAACACACTTAACTTACATATATCATCGTCGTCATAATCATCGCGACAGTATCAGTGCAAATAACGGAATTACTGGAGGGAGCAAACACCACGTGCTTCTTATTGGGGTGGGAATGAGAGAAAACTTAAAGTTATATTAATCATCGACTGCAACATCTTTTTGTATTCGCCTGTTTGAAAAAAGTAAATATTTCCAAGGACAAAAATAACTTTAAATATTAAATTCTGAAATGGCCAGGAGACAGCATTATAGCAAGGGATTTTTCCAATTTGTCTTTGTAGATATTTGAATGTGAACCCATTGTTTAGAATATCTCCTGCAGGAAATTATTGTGCCCATCCATACTCACTCACAAAGAGACCTGGCCAAACATCTTTAAAAAAAGTGTTGAATCTTAGAGTTGGTTACCTGGATAAGGTTTATAAAAACATTACATCTACTTTTTATAATGAAACAAACATTTTGTGTCTATGCTAAGTCGACCTTCAGAGCGCAGGGCAACTGCTGCCATTAGTGAATTCTGAATGATCTCCCCTGCACATCGCTGCTGGTAAGAGGAGTTCTGCCGCGTTCGGCCGGGAGCACAAAGCTCGGCATCGTGTGTCCGTTCGGGCTAAGTAACGAGACGCCCTGCGCCGCAGCTCGCTTCTGCCAACTGGTGTGGAGGGCCTCGCAGAGACTCGGGGTCGGCCGTGCCGTCAGCCCCCAGGGCTGCGTGGTGGTCGTGGCCCTGTACGACCCCCCCGCGCTCGGGCAACGGTGCGCGACTCCCGGCAACGATGCCGACATGATCGCCGTCTCTCCGGTGGCAGCGCCGAACGGAAGTTGTGTCCCGGGGACAGAAGCGGTGGACGAAGACTGCGGCCCGAGGGTGGCAGAATCGGCGGACGATGACGATTGTGTACTGGCGGTGGACGCGGGGGTGATGCTTACCGTGGACGACGCCTCGGGCGTTGGGAAGTCGGAGAAGTCGTCCCTCGTCGAAGGGGTTCCGGAAAGCGAGGCGATGGAAGATCCAGAACGTTCCGTGGCAGAAAGCACGGCAACCGTGATGGGCGAATCGGCAGGCACACGTGCCGTGGGTACACGTGGCAAGACCGATGCCTCGAGTGAGATGGCACCAAAGGAAGCCATGCCGAAATCAGTTTCCTTCTTGTCACTTGGAGATGCCCCCTGGACAATGGAGCTGCTGTCGATGCAGTCTGCCGACACAGACTTGGACACAGAGGAGAGCTCGGGCACAGAAACTCTGGTGATGGATTCAGACAGAACAACTTGTGAAATAATGGAAAGATCTGAGGCGGAAGCAATTGAAGAGCTCCCGTGGGTGGTAGAAAGGGGGCATGGAGGTGCAGGCTCATGTGAAGGAGTGGGAAGAGAAGACACTCTGGTGATGGAGAAAATTCTAGACGAGTCTCGCCCAAAAGAGCACACCGGAGGTGGAGATGAAGCAGAGATGGTGGCTGGGAAAGATATCCGACAAGCGGTAGAGGAAGTCTTGAACGTAGCTGGCGGCGGTGGCGTGGAGCCCAGCGACAGCGGAGTGGAGTCTGAAAAGACAAAACGACCACGCTCCGACGTGGAAAACGGGACTCCAGGGATGATGGCAGCAGTGACAGTGGCAGAGGTGACTTGTCGGAGGGCAGCAAGGGCAGCGGAAGTGACACACAGAGAAGTGAGGGTGAAGGCGCCGGGGAGCGCTCTCGCGACAAAATTGGGAGCAGCCGCGGGAGGCGTGAAATTCGTGCCGCCACGGCGAGACGAGGCGCCGAAAGCGCTGGCGAGGGCCGGGAGGAGGGCAGACTGCTCCGCGCCCGGTGCACCCACCGTAGCGTCTGGGTCAAAGGTCACGGCAAGGACGCCCAGGGCAGAGGTGGTGCTGAGCAATGTGGTGGGCACGGAGGCGCTGATCAAGGCCACGCTGGTGGGAGATGCGCTCTCGGAACTCTACCGGAGGAACGTGCTGCCCATGGTGAGGAGCACACCCTGCACTCCCCAGCCGCATGCGCAGCTCCACATCTCAGGTGACTATACGTGCGTGTCTGTGCGTCAACAGACACCTGTAGACCTTGCGGGGAGCGGTGGGGGAGTGCTGAGAGCACTGCACCACGAACCCGGGCCACCCGAATTCGGTTCCCGCTCACGGCCAACACCGGTGACGTATATCAGAACCGGTCATGGGCCTTCCCTAGATCGACGGCCTCAAATGAGAAACTGCTGTGGTCTGTAAACATCGCCACTGGGGTGACAAAGGCGGTTGGTGTTGGTGCTGAACATAGTGGCAGAGAGAGATAGGCAAGTTGTGCTATGAACTCCATGAGCTAAGTTTTATTCCAGGTCACATCTTACATCAGTGGCGAGTGTTGTTTGAACTGATTCCTGGGCCAAAAAAGGCATGGGGGAGGCCTTCATCAAGCAGTGGAATTACAAATGGCTGAATTCTTATTCATGATTACCTCCATTTCATCTCCATTCCTCCATTATCATTACCACCTCCTCAACAATTTCCACCTCCTCCATCTCATCTCCATTCCTCCATTATCATTACCACCTCCTCAACAATTTCCACCTCTTCCATCTCATCTCCATTCCTCCATTATCATTACCACCTGCTCAACAATTTCCACCTCTTCCATCTCATCTCCATTCCTCCCGCCCTCCTCCCGTCCTCCCCCTCGCCGCTGCCATCGCATCTCAGAGGAGGACCAGGAGGAGTTTTGTATGGACGTCCTGGCGGAGCACAACCGCCTGCGCGAGATCCACGGCGCCCGGCCTCTGCGGCGGAGCGTGGCCCTGGGCCGGGACGCGCGCGCCTGGGCCCGCGTGCTGGCACGCTCGCGGGCGCTGCGGTCCCACCCCACCGTGCCGCACGGCCAGAACGTGTGGGCCAGGCACATCGGCACGGGCGAACTGCCCAAAGGTGGAGATGGGGAGGGTGCGGTGTAAGAGGCGGCGGGGTGGGGGGACGGCGGTGGGGCAGATGGCCCCATGCCCTTCGCACGTACCGTTGCGTTCGCGTGGGTTCGATACCGACCCTGACGCCAATGGTCGCGTGGATTTTTCTCCGGGTCCTCCGGTTTTTCACCTCCACATTTAGAAACATGTGTTTAGAGTATTTGCCTGCCATACATTTCCACACGTGATAAGCCACTTCGTTGGGCTATCATTTGTGACCAGGTCACTTCTTAAAACGAGTTCGAAAGCTCGGTGAGCCTTGCCTGCTAAAGTCGAAATAGTTTAGTTTAACCGCAATGTTAAGAGAATCTGGCCCAGAGATTTCCTCATGTTGAACCGACTCTGTTGAAATTATGCACTCCCAAAAGGCCACATGGCCAATGGAATGTACGAAAAAAAGATATACTTTCATATATCACGTGGAGAGACAGATATGTGAAGGAGGCATATTTATTTTGGCGCACACATGAGGTACGTGGGTATCGTGATAATGTGACATTTGATATTATGGGTTTAATAGAAGCGTTTCCATCCTCACGATGTAATAATTGATATTATGAGTGTACCGTCAGTTTAGAGGTGTGCTGATGACGCCTAAACCACAATCTGCAGTCCCCAGCAGCTCTGGATCCACTTAGCCATGGCGCGGAGGTGCTCAGATTGACTCGGTACGAACGTGATGCCTCATGGATTTGACCATCGCTGTGCTCAATATGCAGACTCTGGTGAATCACACCTTGAGCAGGATCGATCGGCCAATGGCTCTTTGAGTTTTTATTGCAAAGCGCCCCTTGGGATGCCTGCGCATGAAGAGTGCTGTATGACAGCCAACTGTTTTATTGTCAAACATAATTTGGAGCTTTCGTGACTGCAGGAATTACGCGTTGGTTCTTTCGGTAAAGTCACGTATAAAGATAAAATAATAAATTAAATACTAGCATACGACGTTTCGATTGCAACATAAGCAATCATCATCAGGTATAAATGAAATAGAAACACAAATCTAGTATAAGTCAACATGTTATCCGACTCTCTGTTGTATTACATTACATTTCTAAGTATATTAGATTTGTCTTTCTATTTCATTTATGCCTGATGATGATTGCTTGTGTTGCAATCGAAACCTCGTATGCTAGTATTTAATGTATTGTTTTATTGTCACTGCAGGACGTAAGGTCACCAACTGCTGGTACGCGGACCGGCTGGCCTACGACTACAACAACCCGGGGTTTCAGCAGGGAACCGGTAGCGCAGACCCCACACATGACACCTGCCACACACTCTCTCTCCACACCCCCTCTAACCCAACATTCTTTAGGACTACCCTTTGGTGACTAAGCCTCATCTATCACTTTACCCATCACTATCACCTTGACCATCAGCATTTGATCTTAAAGCTTAAGTTGCACGCACATGTGTTGCCGTCTTCAAATCTTGTGGAACTTCCCATGTTAAAAACTGCAACTTTGTTGCTTCTGTTTCGCAACAAATTTGCGCGCTGTTGGGCCACTGAACTCATTCTTGGGCTTTTTTTTCTCCCAAAAAAGAGGCTGAGTGGATTTAAAACTGGAGAAATAAAGTTTCTTTGGGATCTGAAATCACAGCAAAATTTGTACACAATCGTTTGTAGTCAGAACAGCTCAGTAATTGGCTGGATGAGGTCATATGCGTCGTGTTGGTAACGAAAGGCTATTTTACAATATGGCCAATGGTTTACTTCTTGGGATGGAAATTGTCAACAAAAAAAATGTTTAATCTCTCTTTTTGAAGGTAGACAACAAAACTAACTATGGTTGTTTTCTTTATTTTTTTTTATAATGCCCCCAAATGTTAATTTCATGCTTTGGCTGGAAAGGTGTATTTCCTTAACTCAACTCCTAAACTAAAGATTTGCATTCAAGTAATCAGCTGTTGCTTAACTTCTGACTCGTGATCCTCATGCGTGATGTCGCAACTACGATCCATGTTCTGCCATTCGCGACCCCTTCTGTGACCTGTGACTCAAATTCATGACCTTCACCCTTAACACAAGCAAACTATGGTCTGTGACCTTAGAGCGAGTATCCTTGTGACCCCTTTGCTCTGTGACCCCTTGACCCGTGACCCCAGGCAACTTCTCCCAGCTGGTGTGGCGCAGCTCCCTCGATCTGGGCGTGGGGCTTGCGTGCGACGGGCGAGGCATGTTCGTGGCCGTCGCATTCTACAGCCCCGCGGGAAACCTGCCCTACGCCATGAGCTACCGCGACAACGTGCTGCCCCCATACACGCAGGGCATGGCTAAGGGGCAGGGCTAGGAGGGGGGGAGGTGCAACGTGACTTGAGGGCACGCTCACGGAAGAAGAACGTGGGTGAGGGCAAGGGAAGTGCTGAGGCGAGAGGAGAGGGATGAGGTTGAGAGGCTCGCACAGGGAGCTGGCTGCTCATGGGGAGGGAGGAACACAGCTCAGGGCAGGGGCCGGCCTCAAGGGCAGGGCTAGGGACAGGAGAAGGAGTCAACAATAGGAATGGAGAGGAGGCACGGCTGGGGGAAGGGACAAGGCCACAGGCAACATCGCAATGGGGTCAGAGTCAGGGGACGAACGGTGGATTTCATCGTTTCAACTCTAAAATCCCCTGTGGACATGGTATTAGAAGCAAATGGACCTGATTTAATCGTAAAAAAGTGTTTGTTCTTAAATGTAACTTTTTACCAACCAAATAACGCATACAGCATATCGCAAATGCGTTATAAATTATTAACGTCACAAAAGGGCGTTTCTCAAGCGAGGATTTAACCAAGCGGCCTCTTGTCCTACCCCGTGAGCTACGGCGCCTCTAGACGCAAGACGCTGACGTTTCCATACAGTACGTACCTTGTGAGGCGTCGCCATCAATCCCCATCCCCTGGATTCCATTCCCCTGCCTCTCATGCCCCCTTTCCCCCCGTTGAGACTTCATGTAGCCCCCCCGCTTGTCAAACAGTCACGCAATACCCATACAGTACGTACCTTGTGAGGCGTCGCCATCAATCCCCATCCCCTGGATTCCATTCCCCTGCCTCTCATGCCCCCTTTCCCCCCGTTGAGACTTCATGTAGCCCCCCCGCTTGTCAAACAGTCACGCAATACCCTTTGGCAAGGTCAATGCCACGGCTAGAGGGCTAAGATCAGCGGTCAGGCTAGGATCAGAGACAAGGGACAGCGATGAGGCAGAGTTCGGGGATTGAGGAGGTATGAGAGTTAAAATTATGGATTGGTGCAGGGTTAGGCTAATGCAAAGGGCCAGGGTCAGGGCAACGGCGAGGATCGCACGAAGGTAGAGGTAGGGCTGGCCAAACGTAGACAGAGTACGGTGAGCAGGAGTTGGTGGTGCAGGGCAAGGTAGCAGCCTGGCGCTGTGCCACGTGTGAGGTGTCTTGGGCTGAAGTGTGGGAATTGGTGTCTGTGAAGTCGCCCCTGGGTTGGAGAATGTGGCTCATGATGGCCAACACTGCAGCAGTGGGCTCTGGGATTCAAGCGGGGGGCGGGGGGGGGACGAGAGGTGACATTCAATGCATGGTTTTGACTAAACTGACAAAAAGCAGCACTTATTAAATAGAAGTACTAGACAATGAATTAATAATTGATTGTAAACTAGAGTTATTATTTTCTTTGTTTTTAAATTATGCCTGAAAATGAATATATAATGGAATGTATGCATATAAATATGCGCTGTATGCATAATATAAATATCAATGATTATAACACAAAATAAATTATGCAATGCGTTTATCGGATTCATCAAATTATGAAAATACTTCTGATAGTTTCGGAAGTCAAATGTGACTTCAGGCTCTCAGCGTCCTTCAGCCCAGTGCGCGCCAGAGGCTCAATGTGTCAATTGAGGTTCCTTCACGAGGCAACGGTCCATTGAGATGCATTACCCTTTGAACACTGTCCTGTAACCAAGTGAGCCACCAGTGCAATCACATCTTATAGATGAATGGCCTTTACATTATCTGGCGAGTGCCAAACAGGATTCATGAGTCAATCTTGATTTGAAGCTTTCGTGACTGCAGGAATCCATACCGAAAGAACCAAAGAGTAAGAATGCACTAGCTCTTGATCCGTGGTCCTTTAACCAAATTCATGATTCCTTGATTAAAGAACTTCAGCGGAGGGCGTGAGTGTGTGTGAGCACAAACATGTATTACCCTTTATTTAATCTGGTTGAAGGACTTTGATGTGTGGTGGTGAAGTAAATGTATTATTTAAACAACCCCGCTGCTACTATGAAAAATAAGAATCGGGATTACCCTTTCCGGCAATGAAACCGGTGTTAAGATGTTTAAACACCAAATAGATCAATTTTGCAAGGAATCGGGTCCGCATTAACCACACGTACTTGTGGCAAACATGCAAACAAACATGCTCTGATAATATATGCATTGTGTTTGAAACTGATTGCCCTACACCACATACGGTCTACTTTATGGCATTTTCTCACCAGTGTCAGACCAGAGAACACCTGTTTTATTGCCAGATAGGGTAAAACATATTCTTATTTTTCATACTAACGGCTAGTGTGAGGTGGGGTTCGTGGATTATACAGAGACGTGGGGAATCACCATTTCGAACGAGTGATTATCTGGCGCATCACAATGAATGCGGTACAACTGGCAGGTATTTGACCAAAAATATCTGTAGGGGGCAGTAACGCTGTTTCACTGCAGACACTATGCACCGTGGCTGGGAGCCGCTGATGGATATCGGAGTACCGTCAAAGACATGGATCCCTCCTCAGGGTCGAATTATTGAACCCCCGAACGATCTCTAAAGTTGTCACCTGAACACTTACATACAACGTATGCAAATTGAAAATAAATAATTGCAACACAATTCGATGCTTGCATCGTCAACGTTACACATTCCTGCGGAGGGAGCTGGTAGGAACGTTGGGTTGCTCGGTCAATGGCCAGGGTCAACGGCGGCGTGGTGTATTCCGCAAATATGCCCGACTGTGAGGGCGGGCACAAGCCGGCGTGAGTAGGTTAAACGTTGAGTTTTATAAGGGCACCACGGGGTGACCAGCCCCTCCCCACCCAGCCCCACCCCTCCCACCCAGCCCCACCCCTCTCACCCCCCACCCAGCCCCTCCCCACCCTCCCCACCCAGCCCCTCCCCACCCAGCCCCTCCCCACCATCCCCTCCCCACCCAACCCCACCCTCCCCACCCAGCCCCTCCCCACCCTCCCCTCCCCCACCCAGCCCCTCCCTCCCCACCCAGCCCCTCCCTGCACGACGGACACAATAATCCCCTGTGGGCTGGTGTAACCAGGAGGTTCCTACCAGTAATAGTCTGATCTTAAAAAGCACTGATTGTGTCACGATAAGACTGTTCGAGACCACCATGGCTGCAAATGAACAACTCTGTTTTGCTGTCCGAAGACGAGTGGATCTGGGCGCCACGATGGGCTGGTATGCAAGGAGTTATCGTGGGTTCGATCCCAAACCTGGCGCCTGTATATTTGGAGTTTGCGTGTCTCTTTACCTTTAGTCGCGTGGATTTTTCTCTGGGTCCTCTGGGTTTCCCCTCCCTATTTAGAATCAACACGGGTTTAGAGAATTTCGCCTGCTATATATCTGCACATGTTACGCGCCTTCGTTGAAACTATCATTTGTGGCCAGGTCGCTTCTGAATAAGAGCTGTATAGTCCAGTGGGACCTTACCTGGTGAGTGGAAAATAAAGTTTAGTTTAAGTTGACATCTCACCGAATAGCAGCAGAAGAAGACGAGTGCAGACTTCGTGATGACGCACAAGCAACAAGAATCAGTTCGCAGGTTGTATTTCGTATTATATCTCCACACCACTGCGGATTGCACTGATTCACATCAGCTTGGATTCTATTAATTCACACCATTATAGAGTTATCTATGCACAACACTATACAGTTTACATATCGACGCCACGACACATGCCAGAGATTACACACATTTACTCGGGCCCAAATGGGCATCTGGCAGAGGTCGCAACCGGGTACCCGATACCGTACCCTACCCGATACCCGGCTACCCGTACCCGGCCAGGTACGGGTACGGGTACCCGTTTGCGACCCTGGGTGCGGCCGGGTACGGGTACGGGTAGGCCGTGAGTCACTGGTGAGTAACCGTTTGTCACTCATTTCGGGTAGGGTACGGGTAGCGTACGGGTACCCGTACCCGTACCCGGCCGGGTACGGGTACCCGTTTTGCGACCCTGGTGCGGCCGAGTACGGGTACGGGTAATGAATCAAACCCCGTTTGCGACCTCCGGCATCTGGTGCGGTGTGTAAATCCTGCATGAGCACAGGTGCGTGGTGCTGCTCTCTATGAAGTGCTCCAGCGCGCCCCCAGCTGTCGGGATGCAACAACACTCACAGTCTACTCTTGTGGACATAGCAGTGATGATGATACTACTGGTAGGAACCTCCTGGTTACACCAGCCCACAGGGGATTATTGTGTCCGTTGTGCAGGGAAGGGCTGGGTGGGGAGGGACTGGGTGGGAGGGAGGGGGGGGCTGAGTGCGGAGGGGCTGGGTGGGGAGGGTGGGGTGGGGAGGGGAGGGGCTGAGTGCGGAGGGGCTGGGTGGGGAGGGGGAGGGTGGGGAGGGGCTGGGGTGGGGAGGGGCTGGGTGGGGATGGGGAGGGTGGGGTAGGGGCTGGGTGAGGAGGGTGGTGGCTGGGTGGGGTGGGCCTGGGTGGAGAGGGCCTGGTCACCCCGTGGTGCCCTTATAAAACTCAACGTTTAACCTACTCACGCCGGCTTGTGCCCGTCCTCACAGTCGGGCATATTTGCGGGAATACACCACGCCGCCGTTGACCCTGGCCATTGACCGAGCAACCCAACGTTCCTACCAGCTCCATCGCAGGAGGAATGTGTTTTTTTATTATCGATTCTACGGGCGGATCTGTGGCGCGAACGTTTAGTAACGCTGCGCTATCGTTAGGGCGGCATGCGTTCAGGCTAACCAACGTAAGTGGGGCAAGTGGTATCTGAACCCGTCCTGGGCCACTCCTTCAAATGGTTAAACAATCCCCCCACCCATCCTGCAGAGTGAGCTGCAGCGAAACAGTTGCGACGAGACACGCTACAACTCGTCCATTCCACGCCCGATTACTTGTGAATGGTAGCGCTATACTCTGCCGATATCGGTTACTGAATCTCGCCACGCCCGGCCACGTTTTGTGCTGATCACGGCGTGTTAGTCATCAAGAGAGGCCACGTGCGCGTTATGCAAATGAGCGGTAACTCGTCGGTTGAAGGGATAATGAGGGTAATTAGAGAGGAGGCA